GGATGTGAGAGCAGCTCTTCATATTGAAAAGTGTCTTATCTAGCAAAGCTATCTTGCTAGCATGCTTATGATACTGACTAGCAAGAATAAGCTGCACATAATTGGATACTGTTGCTTCTATTGCATCCCGGACTTTGAAATGCCACAGCCAAAAGAAAGCATTAGCCTCATCCAGCAAGGATGTGTTGAATGTCCTGCAAGAGATGTGAAAATGAGATAGCGAGAGATAAAGCTGAATAGCCAAAGTGTTTCAAATGCCTCATTTGCACTACATGAGTCAGACCATGTTTGGTCTCAGTGGGAATGTCTGGCTTGACCTTAGAGAAAGAATTCATCCAGGCGGTCGCAGTTGATCGCAGCTGACCTCTTTCATATATAGCACAATGGCCTTATTTTAATTATCAAACCCTCAAACTCTGAGGTTTGAGAAAATAAAATGTACGCATGTTCTGGAAGTCTCAAACCACCACTGAGGGATGGAAAGAGCGACAAACACTACCTAAGCAAGAACAAGAAACCCAGAGCTCCTCAGTTGTGCTTAGAAAAACCTTCGAAACAAGAATTCAGATGAAAAATACTTGAACTTAACAGTGTTTCATCACAGTGGTCATACATACGTCAGTAAGGGACCACTCAGCAGCCACTTAGCAGTTATTAATCAGATTATGATTGTTTCTGCAGGTATAATGTCTCCCATGTTCACTGTTACAGTTTAGTGTGTCAGCATGCCAACATTTGTTAACTAGCACTAAACAAAAGAACAGCTGAGGATGATGTAAATTGAATTAGTTTTGCAGGTATTTGGTTCTAAAATTGGACAAATTTTGACCCGATGATAGAAGAAACACAGAAATATTCCAGTTCATACTGGGAGAGACATAAATGTCTGCACCAAATGTTATGGCAAGCCATCCAATAGTTGTTGAAACATTTCACTCAAAACCGCAAATGTCATTGTGGCGTTAAAGGAAAAGTTAAAGGTCCAGTGTGTAACATTTAGGAGGATCTGTTGGCAGAAATGGAAAAAAATATTCATAGGTATGTTTTCATTAGTGTATAATCACCTGAATATAAGAATAGTTGTGTTTTTTTCATAACCTTTTTTATCTACACCACAGATCGCCTTCTACAGAGTTGGCCATGTTGAACCGCCATGTTTCTCAAGTTTTCCAGAACGGATAAGCCAAACACTGATTGTAGATAGTGCCTTTCACATTTTTGGTGAGTTTCATAGCCACTGTAGTTCCACCTACACACTTCACAGCTCGTTCTCATTCCCAGACTGTCAAGTTCAGTGAGTTGCAATCTGAAACATCACAACTAGATACCACTAAATCCTACACACTGGTCCTTTAAGGGGATCACCAAGTCAGTAGGATTCATCCTCTGGGGGCCATGAATGCCTTTACCAAATTTCATACCAATCCATATTTGGTGAGATATTTCAGTCTGGACCAAAGCACTGGACCGTCTCACTGACAGACCGACATCGCTTGCCCTAGACCTTCTAGCATGGCTAAAAACCACTAAAAATTGGTAGTTGGGGTTGGAAAAACTTTCAAAAGAAGCAATCAGCTCAGTATTTCCAGAGTCAGTAATAATGTTGGGTCAGCTCTCCATCAATCATTCTCAATTTTTTCACTTCAGGTATCAAAACTAGCATACTTCTCTTGAGACCCCCATCGGAGAGTTAAAACATGGTCTTGGTGCCACTTTGGATCCTGTTACAACATCTGTAAAACTAAAGCCTCCCTTTAGATGATTCACAAGTCAATTCTTCTCGTAATATTCCACTGTATCAGGCCGCACTGCAAGGTTTACATGACGCCAGTGAGGTCTTAAACGTCTCTCCCTGAAGGTGAATGTGATGTTATTAAGCAGCCCACAATGTTTCAAAAGCATCCCTGATGACTACATAGCAGAGTTACTGTTGACAATTTGTTCCATTTTTACCAAGGAAATGATTAAAGCAGAAGTGAACCACAGAAATATCAAACACTGATCAAAACCAGCAAATCACTCAGCAGCAATGTTTGTGTTCTTAAACTGTATTTCTCTTTCGTGTTTATTTTTATGCAGGGTGAGCTAAAGTGCAATAATCTTACTTCAGGTTGGCTGATTTTACATGAAGCAGTCGTTAATCACTTTAGCTCTGAAGTAGCCCTCCAAGGCAGCAATGGTTTCCGTTGCGGTAACCAATCTGAACAGCACTAATGTAGGTTGCAGATTGTTTCCATATGGGACCTGTTTTCAAGTGGAGTCAGCTAACTTGGGTCTAAAAAAAACAGCTTCCATCTCATAGTTTACCCACTTTTGAGCGTGCAATGTGAAATAGTTAGACAACTTTCGCACTAGCAGTCATAACAACACAGTCCACCTTTAACCTTGGTGGATAAATCAACAGGAGGTTGCTGGAAATTCTCAAGAAAAACTACCAGACCAGTTATTTCTACTGCCGATTAGTCATTTACAATAATTAATGTAAAAATATGATGCCTATTAATTGGATGATGGCTTTTAAAAAACAAAATGACTTATAGAAAGTAAGCTGAGACAAATATCAAGGAGACAGGGTCATTAAATGTAAATAAAAAAGGATTAAAGTATTAAATATATATAAAGTACTAATCAAAACATATTCTCTGGTTCAAGCTGCTCTAATGAGAAAAGGCAGCTTCTCTCTGTTTTATATAATTGTAAACTGAATATTTTTGGGGTTTATGACTGTCAGACAAATCTTTAAATCTTTAACCCGTGGTCAGTTGTAACAAGAGTCACATTTTGCTAGCCTGATATTATCATTTGAACTATTCCACATCTTACAGGCCTTGACTGAAAACTCCCATCATATTTTATTCAACTGTATAGATTTTGGAGCAAAACTGCATTAGCATCTCAGAGATATAGAGAGATATAGAAAGCTCTGATAAAGCGATATGTAGTCCAGCCGTACAAATAATATATATTATACAATATATTTAATAAAACTACGTTTCCAGCACATAACATTGACAGTAACATACTGAAAAAACATGCCATCTTTAAATAGTGTCAAGTACTCTCCCTTCGCCATCTGCATAATGTGCCAATGACAGTAATGTGCCACTTTTAGATCAGTGTAGTCTTTGAAATGTATATGAAGTGTTTTGTACTCAAATTGTCAGAATAAAAGACTCTTTCTCTGCCCTTTCACAACGCTCCCCCACACTTCCCATTTCCTTTCCTCAAACACTTGCCTCACTTCCCTCCCTCTTGGTCCTCAAATGAGTCTCTATCTGGCCCACTTCTACCAGGGCGACCTCTCTAACCTCTCCGTTGTTTCTACTTGAAATGACCATGCTGTGTGATGTGGAGGCCTATATGTATGCCCCTGCGGTAAGCTGCCTCACCAAAGTCCACGTTCCAAAGTTACAGAGCTCCTGCAGTGATTCTGGCATGGCTTCAGAGGATGACAGCTGACGGTGGGGGCGCTTCATGTCCAGAGGTCCAGCCTCCTGTCATGCCGGGTCCCAGGTGTGCATCCTTTCGTGGAAATAATGTGTCCTTTTTCCCCCTATTTCTCTTTTGTGCATCCGAGGTGAATTAGCATTTGAAAGTAAACTGAGAAGGTTAATGGAGAAATGTCAACCATAGTCGACTGGAGGCACTGGGGAAAAGTAGAGGATTATGCTTAACCTGGCAGAGACACTATTACTGTACACACATTCTTATCTAGTATCTGCCAGCACCAATTAGACTGCACTTAATGTCAGTGTGAACAGTGATTGACTGGCAGGCATTGGCAGCAGAATATCTCTTTTAATCCATTTAGTAATTAAAGATATGAAATTAGATATCTAGTTATCTATGTACCATGTTAAAGGCACCTAAAGCATAATGCTGTCTGGAGAGTAAGGGCCATAAAAAAGCAATGATTAGTGAAGAACCAAACTCCCTTGAGGAAGACAATTTGACTAAGGGTTTGTGGTTAATATGCAATGACTGAACAAATATTTTACCAGTACAATCTTCTGTAGCAAAGGCAGGAGGTGTGTAAACCAGATAAATGACTCAACAGACATCCAATTTCAATGGTTTATGCCAGAGTAGTAAAAACGACAACTGCTAGGCTCCTGTTTGCTGTGGTTATAATATTTAAATTATACTTGTGTGGCTTACAAAGCCATCTTCTCCTGTGCCACTGCGTTGAATGCCAACTGAGAAAATTGGGATTACCCATTCAATATTTCCAATCTTTGTTTAGTAACTGAAAATATTGGGATTTGTGATTACAGTCATTGTTGAAATATTGATTTATGTGTGGGCAGCAGCAGCACTTTCACTCATGTGGAACTGCAGTTTGAAATACAGTTCTCAAGAAAGGGCAAACAGTTACTGACAAAGCAATTTTCCACTCAAGGTCTCCATAATACATTAAGAAAGGCTTAACGTAACACAATAGATCATGGTATGAAAACTAAACTATATTTCACTGGCTGGATGCCTCCCATATGACAAGACTGTAATTACAACGGAATATAAATAAAAAGCCTCTTCAATACAGTATGCATAGTCATCTAAGAAACCTCTTAAGTGGAGAAAACACCTGAGAACCAATTGACCTTTGCTTGATCACTTTGCCTTGTTTAAGAGTTGTCAGGTACAAGAAATTGTAACTGTTCTATATAGTTGTATTTAGTGGATGTCTGACAGTGCAAGAAGTAAGAGGGCAGTGTTGTTTTGGCTCTGTGCTCCAGAACATTGAGAGACATTGACCAAATTGATAATTTCAATCACATCACACAATAAGCTGTTAGGTTAAAGTACAAACTTCCAGCTTTAATTTAAAGCTACTCTAGTCAATATGTTTAAATTAACAATGGATTTCAAGCTTGTGGTCAGAAACGTGCTCTGTTACACCTGTAACCACACCCAATAAGCCATGTCACTGTGTACTGGATTTCCCCTGTCACTGCAGCAAGGTGAAGAAGTTAAACCACAGGAGGGCAGCAAAAAGCAAGTTTTTCAGGGGGCATTACATTACTGTTTATTAGGGTAATATGTCAGAGATTACAACTGGTGGCGCTGCCAAAAAGTGGCAAAAAAAAAAGTAGATTCAAGGTGTTTATGTCCACATTTGATGAATTATGCAGAAATGTCAGCCCTTTTTAAAAGCCCCCGAGGGTAAAAAGGCATACTGGTCCTTAACCGTTCCCCTGTTTGGATGTGAACACTATCAAAACCCTGAACTTTGAAAGTCATGTGGTGGTGGTCCTGGCTCGTGGTGTTTTTGTTAGGTCAGTGTGCTGAAGTAGAGAGCACATCGCTGTCCTATTATTGACACACTTCACATACAAATACATCATTTAAGGAAAAGCTGATCCTGAAACTGGACAAAGAATGAGTGAAGTGTGTTCATGAGAAGACATTTTTCCACACATTTGGACTGGTCTTTATTCTTCTGGGCTTCAATGGATGCTGAGCGTGGTGTAGCAATGAGAAAGGCTGAGAACAACATGGGCAAGTGTTTCATCAGACATCTGTCATCTCGTCTTCCATCTCATCCCCCTCTGTTTCACCTTCTGCCTCGCCTTCTTCTTCCTCTTCCTCCTCTGATGTCACATCCAGCTCATCCATCTGAGAGACACACTTTGGACACGAGCAGACGAACAGGTAGTTCTCCCTGGGAAGAAAATGTTTCACCAGTCACATTATTGCACCTCTAAAAAATGAATTAATCAGAGGCATTTGAAGCTCCACTGTTCAGAAAACATGGTGCTGTTCCTCAGCCTCTGCACACTAGAGCAGTGTTAAGTTCCACAATTGCAATTAATACTTTCATATGGTGTGATATGGGGGTCCCATGAAAGTTCACACCACCAGCTCGGAGTGCAACTGCACCTTTTCTGACAATTATCACAGGATGCAGTAAAAAACATCTCAGAGATTGGATTTCACAGAGCATTGGGGTGTGATTCAAAGGATTGATATCATGTTGATCAATGAGCTAGTAACCCATGGCTTCTCTGCCTCAAGACTGCTCATTATTGCCTGGAAGGCTTTTTATTGATCCAACTGTAATTCATAACAGTATGACCCCATTCAAGTGATTCATCCAAGGGATTACAGATGTTTACCTCAGAATTTTGTGTCTGCTATGACGGCTTCGGTCCCGCTGACAGCAGTCCAGATAACTGATGCAGATCTCCTGAAAATCCAAGAAAACAAACAGCTGAACTGGCTGACCTAACTGAGCCTAGAAGTCTTAATATTTACACTTTGGTCCCATAAAGATGCTGCTGGTATTTTTCAAATGGCAGAAATAATTCATGTTTTTCCTCTCATGCAGGAAGTTGCTGTGTCCTCCTATCTTTCTATTGGTGAAATGTTACACAGGGCGCTCCTGTCTTAGGGAGCATTCAAAGGAGAGCTTTGCTGTGAAAGTAGCACGGCTGCTGTGACATTACTGTGCCGCGCAGATGCAAGGCTTCTCAATCTTTCTGACAGCTTGACAAACCCACTCCAATCCTCAAAGTCTCAGCCTTCTAATACTGTCTGACAAGGGAGCACACAAAGCTAGAGAGGGATGTTCTGTCCCGTCTATCCCAGGCCAGAATTTATCACTCCAAACCCAGACGTGTCAGCTGACCTCTCCTGGGGTGATGTCACTAAGGGCACTGAGCTTAAGCAGGAAGTTGTTGTTTGGGAAGGATGCCTCTGCGTTGGGTATGCAGCTGTGGTTACCTGCAGTGGTTAAAGAGGCAAAAAAGGGGTCATCAGACGGTCTCTTGACCAGAGTAACAATGTGTTTGAACTGAAGTGACAGCGCTCATAACATGGACATCATCTGCACTTACATGAGCTTTGAAGCAGAAAAAGTCCAGAGCCCTCGCAGTTTAGAAAGTCTCCCGTTTCTATAGAGAGAAGAGACAAATAATGCACATTTATAACCTTTGTTGAGATCTGATCCCAGTTTACATAATAATAACAACAACAGCAGCAATGTCATTGGGTGAACACCACAACACACACAATAATAAACACTCACTCATACAATATGACCACTGCAAATCTGCTCAGTTGAGACAAAAATAATTTACTCCCAATAACACTGCAAGACTGAGATAAAACTGTGACCTTTCTCAATGTCCTTGTATAGCTGGTCGATAAAAGAGTCCAACTGCTCCCTCTGCTGGGCAGGGAGCTCAAGTGCGTCACAGGCATGAACCCACTGACTCAGGGAGCTGAAATTCAATAGAAAAAAATGGTAGCACATAGAGAACAATTTGAGCCAAACTGAAAAGGCTGAGTGAAGGACAGGTGAGGCGAGTGTTTACCTGGTGCCGATGCCTTGTCCGTTGGTTCCCACAAGAGCAAACAGAGAGCGGAAACCCTCAGGGACAAACCACTGCAATACAATCAGCTTTATTTATTGATGCATGCTCAAAGATTGGTTATTTAATTTAACCCCTTTTATATTAAGGTCAGAGGGTTAGCTGCATTATCTCTGGAAATGGTAAGAATTCACAATCTGTACATTTACTTTCCAGTTACATCAGCATATATAGTTATATAACATAATATGCCAATAACATTATTCTGGATGTCTCACTAAGTTCAATAACATATTTCATTGACTTCATCATAATATCTAGATTTCTGTAAACTGCCTGTGTGGTAAAGGTTTCCTACAACACTGAAAATATATATAGATAAAAATCAGAGATCCACTGGACGGTAAACTAAGCAAGTTGAATAAGTCAACGTGCACTGCAACTGCGATGTCCATTAACATTTTGAAGACCAAACTATTAACAGATTTAAAGTAACAGATTGAAACCACTCTCATGTCTGCCACAGCCAAGCACAACAGTTAGGTTAACTTAGCATAAAGACAGTAAACAGTGGCGACCCGTTAGCCTGGCTTCAACAATAAAAAAAAAAAATCTGCTACCCCAAATGAGCAAATAAGTGTTTAACTTGGCCGGGCACAGAGATTTCCCAGAGGCTTGTGATCACTGTGAGGCAGACAGGCAACCAGCAGAGCCTCCAGGAAATCACTGCTTCCTGCAGGGAAGTCGTCGAGCACATAACGCCCTGCAACACTGTAACGGTTTGTTTTTACCCTTTGGTTTTTGTACAGACTGAAACAAGATATAAACTGTTAAATAGCTATCCTTAGAGGGGCTGGTAGCTACATATTTTTACCTTTGGACGGAGCCGGACTAGCTATTTCCCCGTTTCCAGCTTCATAATTAGTACACATACAAGAACGCCATCAATCTTCTCATCTAACTCTAAGCAAGAAGGCAGATAAACGTATTTCCAAAACTGTCAAACTAATTATTTGATCAAGAAAAAAACGCTTTAATGAATTGATGATGAAAATATTTATATTTGAAGCACTACAGCTGTAAAGTGTTTGGTTAAACTACACACAGGAGAACATGAAGAAACATGCAGTGGTTACATTAGAGCTGTTCTTTCTTACCCGAGTCAGATGATCATCATAAAGTGCTGCTTTGAAAAGGCTGTGTAACAAGGCCAACTGCCCCTAAAGAAGCAATGTTAGATACATTAAAATGACATTTTTACACACATCATAAGCATATGTGGCCACAGTGGGAATTAAACCTGTGTCAGGGGGATAACACTGGAATGCTTTGCTCACTGAGCTGTAAAGGACTGTGATTAGCAGGATATTGTCTTTGAACTGCCAGACTTAATACATTTTGCACTTAAATAATTTCATCTTTCAAGCAGAAATAACATGATGATAACGTACTCTGAACTGATCTCCCAGGAGCTTATGGGCGATCTCTTCTTCCTCATTAGCTGCCCGGCTGCAGAAATATGAAAACAGCTTCTGCCAGTGCGCTTTGTCTTTGGCCTGGACAACATAACCAATAACCAATATTAATAACAAACATTAAGTTATTACACTGTGTTTTATTGTAAGTATGTGGTATATCTCAGTATATGAAGTTTCAATGACTTTTCGTCTTTTCAAGGATAATCAAAACCAAACTCCTGGTGGTGTTAGCACCCAGACAGGAAGCCGTTTGTAGCTTTTGACTTTGTAACGAATTATAGCTTTCATTAAGTTGCTGTGGCTCAGCTCGGTTTAGCGTTGTATACATGAAGCTCTGATCTGTTATCTTTTATTTCTAATTCACTATGCCAAGTTAAATCAAAATATGCAAACCATATGTCCACTTGGGGGCAGCACAACAACACACTGGCTTATCAACACTATATAAAGTTGCTGTAAGGAACATGTTAGCAAACGTTGCCGATTTACACATCCTGCCGACCAAAAGCATTAACGTTAGCCTAATGGAGTCTAATATTCCGTATCCTTTTAGCCGTGTTGTGGTCGCTCCTGACTCCTGAGGGGAAATATCTGGTTCTTTAGCTGCTAAACACAACTGACCAAAACAATGAGCTGAAAGATGTGAATACACTGTAAAGCTGAGGGGAGCTGCAGGGTCAGGTGTCAGGTGAGCGAACCCCTCTATGTTATGTTATGCATCCCATGTTTATACAGATATACTGATGAGAGCAACTTTAAAGTTTTATATGTATGGCTATGTGCACAACATTTTGCTTTGTTTATTGCGGGTCAGATGTCTGTATTAGTCAGGGTAAAGTTAATTTCAAGCTAGGTTTAACACCATAAAAATGGATTTTAAATGATTTTGAAAAATGATGGAACGATTGGGAGTGGGAAATAAAAATTTAACTACACACAGCATCCTTTTATGGCAAGGTGTTTATATTGCATTTCTAATATTGATCTAGTTTTTGTTGGCATGAACACCCGCAAGATTAGTTCACAACCTCAAATAACCCTCAGACTGCTGAACAGACTCACCTGTTTGACCACAGCTACCATTCTGGCCATAAGCATGATGCTGGAGGTCTCTGGGGGATAATGCATACTTCTGAAGAGAAGGCAAAAGATGAATTTAGATTTAGATGAATGAAAACAATACAATTAAATAAAAAAAAACAGCCCATTTAAGAGTGTTTCTAATGAAAAGAGCTATAAAATACTGTGTCACCTCCAGGCATCTTTAAGCTTGTTGATGGGGTGGTCCGGATCTTCCTGGGAGGGACCCAAACACAGAGCTCGATGATACTGATCTGCTGCAGATTGTCGACACTCGCTGCTACAGTACATCACCTGCAGAGAGAGAGAGAGAGAGAGAGAGAGAGAGAGAGAGAGAGAGACAGAGAGAGAGAGAGAGAGAGAGAGAGACAGAGACAGAGACAGAGAGAGAGAGAGAGAGACAGAGAGCTTTATTTCAATCAGAAAACCCTGAAAATGACCAAAAAATAAAATTTCAAGTGCCAGGGACAAAAATATCAAAAAGTGTATTACATATATAATGAACTTTTGGTCTCTTTGTGGGTAGCTTTTTTCCCATAATGCCCAGTTTCCTTAACCACTAATTTGAAACCACAGGTCTCCATCGCCTAGAAACAACTATTGTGTGAGGTCACTGTAATCAGGACATTTTTTGCATGGTTACGTTCAGGAAGGTAATCGGAGTGGTTGCCAGGGGTGACTTACTCACATCTGTCCAGCTGAAGGAAGCAAATCACAAACAAACAAACCTCCATGAGGTTTCCACACATTTTGAATATGCATTTTTCAAATCAGTGGTTTTCAATGTGACTCCAAAGGCATCACAATGGATTACAACGCAGTGTCCAATTGATTACTGGAAATGTCAAGGCTTCTTCTTACTGTGCAAAGATTCTAATCACATTCTGAAGACTGTTAGTACAACAGCTTTTTCTTTGCTCATTAAAAGAAAGAAAGAAAAATAACAATTGAAGCAGTAATTAAATAATTTAATTTTACAGACCAAATCTGGGATCTCTTTGTATTTTTAAAAGTAGAACTGCAAACAGGGCAGATTATATTTAAGGTGGAATGAGGTTCTTTGTATATCAGTCTTGTGTTGTGATTTAAATATACATTATAGAACAACATTTTCTTAAATTGTTTTATTCTCTGCTTTTACTGCACTACATCTTAAAATGCTCTTTATTTTAATAATTTATATTTTATTGCAATAAACATCTATTATATGTCTTTTGTGAGGCACGTGGTTTTTGAAAAGTGCTATAAAATAAGGTTATTATTATTAGGCTGAGGAGGATAAATTGAATGAAAGCTTCTTTGTTGCAGTTAAACCTGAGCCTTTTACTGTGTCTATACTGCAAATACAAATAAAACCAGTTGTTCCAGTGTTTTACTTTGGTTAATATCAAATAGACAGATTAGAAGTTCCTCCCTGACCACAGCTGCCTTAAAATCAATAAATTTGTCCTCTATTGATTGGCCAGTTTTTCAGAGGATCTTCCTTCTGTTTAGGCCCTCAAAATCCAACGTCAGTCAAGTTGGAGCCTGGAACTTTGAGCGGAAGAGTAATCTGAATGGACTAACCTGACACTGAGGGCAGGCTTGGTGCAGCTCTGGTCGAACGCGGCAGAGTTCAGGGTGAGGAAGGCTCAGCCCGGGGATGCCGCTGAGTCTCCTCGCATTCTCCTCTGCAGTCTCCAGAGCACGTAAGCAGTACTCACAGGCTAAAACAGACACAGTAGAGCAGATGAGGTAAAACTTTACTGCAGACCTTGTTGCTTTGTGTTGAGGTGGATCTATTGGCAGAAGTTGTATATAATATGTGTAACTACATTTTCATTAGTATATAATCACCTGACAATAAGAAAAAAGTTTCACTGGAGATCAAAGTCCTCCTGAAACCCTGATTCATCCTGTATTTGTCAAGCCTGTGTTCTGATAAAATATACAAGCTTTTGTATTCATATTGTATGTTGTTATTTTTGTTATATATTATTAATGCAACATCAATCTCATTCTTTGTTCATTCATGTCAGACGCAGTTAAAAAGTCCAGTAGAGTTCCCCCAGTAGGCTGATACCCTCTCTACACTGTTGGTTCCTGAATGACGGCAAAATGCCAAAAAATAACATTTATTAAAAAAATATATATATAATAAAAGGTCCAGGAAGTAGCTCTCTGTGTATGTCTAAAAGGTGCACATCTGACCAGCATGTTTAGCTCCCTCTCTAAAATGAAGAAGAGAAATCCCACCTTTATATTTATACAAAGCATTCCACAGGAACTGGGCAGAGACCAGAGGCCGCTCCAGAAAAATGGCTTCTCCCTTCTTGATGCTCTTTTTGGCGAAGAGACCTTTGCCCTGAAACAATGAATAACACACTGTTCACAGATCTGTGAAAACACAGCAGCCTCGGCTTCATGTTAACCATCTGCAGCAGAATCTGAGAGCGAGCAGCTCCACAGTGAGAGGAACATACCACACACACACACACACACACACACACACACACACACACACACACACACACACACAGGAGTTAAAACACTTCCTTTGATTTGCTGAAGCTCTTGACTATATCCTGTCAGTTGTGTATGAGAAAGATAATCTGGCTCCTCTTGGTGAATGAAGTGAAAACAACCAATCAGAGCTGAGAAAGATATTCCCAGGTCATCAAATACTGGTGCCATTAAGAGCACTACAAAGAGAGGAACCAGATATTTCCCACATTATGTCTCATGTATACAGGATACAGTGTCAGCTTCAGCCAATATAGCAAATATAACCTACTGCAGCTTTAACTGCTCTTTATACTTCAGATCATTATTACTAAGCATAGGAAGCGCTTTCTTATAAAGTTTATTTAATTTGCCTCACTTGCCTTTCCCCCATAGCTACACAGCTCTTACAGTAGGAGCAGATACAGGCTAAAGGATAAGTGGGCACAGATTATTTATGAATGGACTCCTTATCAATAAAAACTACTACAGACAGCCCTGAGTGTACCCGTGTACGGTACACCTCCTGCTTTAGATCAGTGTTTATAACTGCTTTATGCTGACTCGAATCAACTATCAAATGACCCACCGACATAAACTTATAGTGAGGATTAAGCTACATTTAATAACTTGTTTATACTTACTTCCAGAGCTCGGGAGACAGGATCCTTATGTTATTGTGTTAAAACCCTACATAGTCTAGAATCGCACTGCCGGAAATACGAAACATTTCCCTTTTAAGTTGTAAGGAGCAGCAGATGTAGTAATAGTGAGATCGGCTCTGACAGCAGGGTCTCCAGCAGGGTCTCCAGCAGGGTCTCTGTGCCTGGCTCTGATCCACACTGACAGCCGCTTCACCGCCGCACATCCACCTGAATCCATTCAGTCTCACTAACTCTGAACGTACTTACCTTAATGTTGTCTATAAACCGGACTTCCACGCAGGCGGCAACTTTACCGGGGTCCACGCAGAGGGAAAACATGTCATCCAGGGGAGCAGCCATGTTTCCGACGACCTTTTCCCTTTCAACCCTGACACTGACGATTTATGTCTGGGTACTGGCGGCAGCGACCTCTGGTGGCGGACCTGTGAACCGCAGGTTGTCTCACAGCTCAATGCCGGAAAGTTATTGTTTTATTGTAGGTGATTAAAAATAAGTATTAGTTAAACTCATTTAAATAACTTTATTTATTTATTTATTTATTTATTTATTTATTTTCATTAATTAAAACACTTTGTAAGTTTAAATAAAACTGTAGTAAATGTGCATTGAGATGATACAATCACTATATTATTCAATATATTATATATTAAATATATTCAAGATATCCAAATTGTTTTCATATGATCATAATATAACTTAGAACTAAATCTCACATAATAACATTCACACATATTATCTGTTAAGTTTTCTTTCACTGTTCACACCCAGCAGCTAAAATTACTATGTGCAAGAAACAACTAATTATTTTCTTCATTAATCGTTTGTTTAATCAATAAAATTGTAGAAAATAGTACAAGTACAAGGTTAAAAACTACCCAAAAGATGTATCAAGTATTAAAATAGTTTAATTTTCTGTCAATCAGCTTAATTGATTAATCATTCCAGCTCTGAAAAACAGTTCCCTGTCTAATACAGTGCAATATAGTACAGTATTAAAGGAGGAGAATTAAAGAATGAAATGGGAGTATTTACTAATGTAAATGGTACAAACAGTAAAACGATGAGGAGGAACTCCATCAACACTAAACAGCGAAGTGTTCAGCTTACAGTCTGAAAAGTCTTCACAGCAGTAAATGGAGAAAAGGTATTTATTATCTAATTTTAGATAATATAGATACATGTTTTACATTGTTTGACTAGCAAACATTTAATAACGTTGTAGCATAAGTATTATACAAAAAATTAAAAATACTAGTTCATAATCAGTAGTATAATATATAGGTTATACTTTTATATCATACAAAAGAAGTAATTCTTTAGGAATACAATAGTGGTTTAAGAAACAGTCAGTAGTGGAGTAAAATGTCCTTCCTACAAGTTAGAAAGAAAGATACTTTGGCTATTATAGAAAAGAAAATAACAAGACAGTAGAATTCTGCATGTCACATTATTCAGGTAAAATACGTGTGATAAACTGTCATTCACCATTTTAAACAGTGTGTAAACTAATATACATCTACAGCACAGTCTCCACAGTATACAGCCACTGACACAGAGTGGCTTCACAATGGCAATATTGTTCCATAGAGATCAGCATAGAGAATATATCAGCAGGTTCCTGGGACATTTCTAAGACTTTTATTTTGAATTTTATTGCAGTTTCCCACAGGTCAAAAATATACTTTAGGGGAGGCTTTCATTCAAACCGCCCACCGTCTCTATCACAATAATGCAACAGAGTAGAGCCTGACTGATATATCCACTGTGCCGATATATCAGCGGATAACAGATTAATAAGTTAGTGACTAGCTGTTGAACATAGTGGAGCATTCAGCGGCTAGAGATACTTCCCTCAGGAGCTGGTGAGGAAAAGAACCAAGTAGATATTGGACTCACATTTGCCAAGTGGTCAAAAACATGACTTTAAATTAATTATTAAATTGAAGTCTCTGTTGCTCAGCATGTGCTGGATGTAACACAAGGTTGCCCACATCAGTAAGTGATAATGTCTCAATATCGTGTTCACAACTTGTTTCTCCCAAGTGGACAAAAAAAGAGTTATTGCAGGTTTAAACTGTATTCATAAACATTTGTCATCATTAGCAGCCATAAATAACACTTGATTGGGAAACAAATATGGCCTATATGTGGGAAACACAGTACTGGATATATTAAAATTGTATTAATGCTAAAAAACTGATCTCACAGTAAATATATCATAATTTCTATATACAGAGCTTCTTCCATACTAATAGCAAAAAAAACCTGTCCCCCTTTTAAAATCCAGAAAGAACCCTTGACTCAATAATTGCTGGGAATGTTTAGAGACCTTAGGTTAGTACATGATGATCTACAGTCTCTGCTATGGTGGAGGAACCCTACTGTAGCTTCGTAATGCAGCCTCATTTCCATCCTCGCCCCCCTGTCCTCTCCGCTCCTCTCCCACACCACAAGCGTCCATCATAAACCCTTGTTGTAGGTCACCACCTTGCAATCTGTTGCCATGGCGATCTCTGGCTCCAGGCGAGACACCTCAATCTGTACAAAAAAATAACAACACTCTGAAGACTGAAGGTAGAATTTTAGCTCTATACCTCTCCGAGTCTGCCTTTAAGCCTTGAAAATCACTTTGACTTTTTAATTAGACGTGGGAAGAGACATCTGGAATAAGAGGTGAATACAAGCTTGTGGGCCTCGACTGTGCATGTCAAGTGGTGTATAAGTAATTTGATTTTTTTTTTCCACAGCTGCTGCCTCAGCCATCTGGCCTTGAATCAGGAGTAGAAGCAGTTGAACCGACGCGTTACTGTACCTGAGACATCTGGGGGAACAGGCTGATGGCCACAGGCAGGGAGAGGCCAAAGGTAACCAGGCACACAACGCTGTGGATGGGCAGCAACAATCTGCGGTTGCTCTGCAGAAATCGCAGCCTACACAAGTCGAGATAGTGATAAAAGAAAAACGTAAGCCTTCTATGTGGATCGATCCCAGATGACTACTGCAAGTTATTTTTGGATCTGGAGAAAAACAGCATGTGCGGATTTGGGGGAGCTATTTTCCACAATTAGTGGGTGGGAGATTTATCTGTCTGTGTGAAAGTTCCAGTTCTAGGTTTAATGAGTCAGACTGCAGATATCCTCTTTTACTGGATTTCACAATAGAAGTATACATTCTATTTTTGTTAGAACACTTCGAGCTGTATCATTACATTTCATCCACTTCTACATTTTTGATATTTTCTCTGGCTGTGACCTACTACCGAATGAATACACTGTAAGCACTTTGGGGCACACCATATGTTGGCCCTGGCTCATTACACGCACAAATATTTATTGTATTTGTACAACAATGCCCTACAAAGACAGAGAGCAATAAGAGCAATAACTGAAAGGATGTGATCTAGTTCTCTTTCTCACCCTATTTTTCTCTTTAATCATTCCCAAACTGGGGATGGAGACCCCCACAAGGTGTCGCAAGTTAAATCTGAGGGGTCATGAGATGGGGTTAAGAAGGTGGCTAGAAAGGTTGAAACCACTGATGTGGGCAGTGTTTTCATTTTGATATATGTGTAATTAATGCAGCATTATCGGCCATTTTATGTGAATATACCTGCAACAATGCTGATCATCGATTAAATGTATTAACTAGGTTCTTTAAGTAATAGTAGTAGTTCACTGGTTTTAGCATCTTAAATGTGAATATTTTGAAGTAGTTTTAGTCCTTTATAATTATAGAAAGTGACAAGGACAAAACAAGACATTACTGTACAATATGTGACCTCGAGCTCTAGGAACTTGTGATTTTCATGATTTGATTGTCATTTTTCATATTTTGTATTTATTTATTTTATCATATCAATCGAAAATAATTGGTAGATTTATCAATACTCGTACTGACTTACTACTTACCCGTAGGGCAAGTAATTGTTACTAAATATATATATATATATATATATATATATATATATATATATATATATATATATATATATATATACATGTTTGTACAAACCTCTCTAGGTAGGACATGATGATGGGGGGCAGCACAAAGATCGGCATCGGGAGAACCACACGTGTGAAGGCGGTCTCCATGATTGCCTGGGGGAAAAGATGAGAACATTGTGCACACGCTTCATTTCAAGTACTGCAATGAGTTGGATTTAATTTTCCCTTTCATGAGATCAGATGTGTGCTGAGTGACAGGACCCGAGCAGGAAATGATAGATTTTCCCATTATCAGCCACAGTCACTTTTGCAATTTACTGAAAAAAAAAAAAAAAACCCAGCAAAAGTATGAATATATTATTGTAACAATTATGCTGAGTATGCAAAAAAGGCTCTCACGTGTTTTGCAGCAGTTTTGGAGGATCCCACCACATTCCCGTTGTTGTCCAGCACATCGATACCTTCAGATAGCTCATTGTGTCTCATCAGGCCCACGTTACAAATGTTTGCACAAGCTGAGGATGGAGACGGAAAGGTAACTTTTACAATTGAATCTCCACAGAACAAGAACAGAAGCTGAACAAAAGAAATCCAGTCACAGGAAAAAATTAATTCCTTCAAAACAGAAAACTGCCCTACAAAGACAGAGAGCAATAACACCAATAACTAAAAGGATGTGGCCAAAAAAAGGGTTTTGGAGTATCTCTTTTCCATCCTTTTTTTTTCTTTAATCATTCCAAAACCAGGGATGGAAACCTCCACAAAGTTAGATCTGAGGGGTCGTGAGATGGGGTTAAGAACCAGAAAAAACATATTTCTTCCACAAAAAAATGATTTTTATTTTACTGTAATATCTTTTGTTTTCTATAGAATATACAATAATGAATTATTAATGTAATTAATCTTAATTTTATTATAATCCAAATAAAAGAACAGATCAAATGTGATTAGTGATGGCCATTGCTTCACTTAAATGGGTCACCAGGTGGCCAAAAATGGAACATTCACTGGTTCCAGCATCTCAAATGTGAATATGTTCTAGTAGTTTTAGTCCTTTATAATTGTAAACATTAAAACTGTAAAACTCTTAAAGTAAAATACTATAAAAATGACACTGATGCAATTAACATCCACATTTGTAACATATGTGTGGCATCAGCAGGTTGTTGTGACTCCAACCACCAGAGGGCCACACAATTACCCCTAATAAAACTGGCACACAGGGTCCTTTGAAAACCTACCTACAGCTGGGAAAGGGACAAATCTCTGGATTATCATTCTGGTGGCAGGACTCAGCTTGTTGGCTTTCTGGATCAGCACATTCAGTCCCACCTATTAAATACAGAAAACAAGGTTGTTTCAAATAAATGTAAAATCATATGTGTTAGGATTACTTTACTGGAGCTAAAACATTAATAATAGAAACTGTACAGTTAAAAGTA